TGTGGCCCTACCCCCAACCCCAGGTGATGGACGTATGTTTGTATCAGCTCTGACAGAACCGACCCCACACTCGGCACTGCCCAAGTCGCCCAGTGGGTCTCCACAGAGCAGGGCGGGGGCCCGAGGGGGACCTGCTGGTCTCGGTCCCTGAGGTGGACGGCCTGTGAGGACCCAGGAGGCCCCATTGTCCTGCCCCCATACCTGAGTCTGCACGGTGACAGGACCCCTGGGTGCAGTGTGCCAGGAGAAAGGGCGCAGGTGTGCTCACCCAGAGCAGGGCACCTGCCGGGCGGGGGTGCCACCCGCTGCCAAGGTGTGGGCTTAACGGCTTCGGGGGCAGTTCCCCCTCCCAGCTTTGCCGGGCCCTGATGGCTCTGTCTGCCTGTGCCCTGGTCTCTGTCCGCCTTTCTCTGCCTCTGCCTCTGTGTCTCTGTCTTTTAGGCGGGGGTGGGGGGTGGGGGGTGGGGGGGGGGCGATGGGGGTTGGCACACACCCGGACAGTGCTCAGGGGTCACTCCTGGCAGGCTTTAGGGACCAAAAGGGGACTGTGTGGGGACTGTGTGGGATTTTAGGGACCAAAGTAGGGTTGGCCTCGGGCGGGTCAAGGCCCTGCCCACTGTACTGTCCAGCCGCGTCCCTCTGTCTCCGTCCGTCTCTCCATCCCCGCCCCACCCCGCCCTGCCGCGCATCAATGTCCAGTGTCCACGCTGCCGGAGCCTGGGGCGCGCCCACACCGTGGACGGGGCACCGTGCGGAACTCCGGGTGCTGAGCGCCCCCTGGCGGCAGCGAGGAGCAGCACAGCCGGACGGGAAGCCTGGACTCGCCAGGTGCGCGCCTGGGTGTGGGCCCGGGTCGCGCCGCAGCTCCCCGCGCTCCTGAGCGCAGCCAACCGGCCAGCAGGCGCCCTGGGGCCGCCGGCGCAGCGCCTCGGGAGACGGTCGATGTGACCACTGAGTCCCAGAAGTCCCAGAGGACACGGAGAGGACACGGAGCACACCCCAGGCTCCCCTCACCTCCCGTCCCAGGGCAGGCATCAGGTCCCCAGTATGGTCGTCTTAGGGCCTCTCGGCCGCTCAGGAGGAAGGAGGGGCCGCTTCCTACAGGCCTGGGGCGGGTGCGGTGGGGGAGGGAGAGTGCAGGTATCCCCGCCTCCCAGTGCTGGCCTAGGGGGAGGTCCTGGGAGCAGAATGGGGAGAGTGGGGTTTCCTGCTCCTTCTCACTTTTTTTTTTTTTTTGCTTTTTGGGTCACACCCGGTGCACAGGGGTTACTCCTGGCTCTGCACTCAGGAATTACTCCTGGAAGTGCTCGGGGGACCATATGGGATGCTGGGAATCGAACCCTGGTTGGCAGCATGCAAGACAAACGTCCTATCCCCAGCCCCACCTCGCACCTTTGGGACCCCCTCACCATATCCACTGAGGTGCTGGTGACCAGTACACTTAGACAGACACCACTGGGGTGACCTCCAGGGGAAAGGACCTGACAGGAAAGGAAACATAAATACCACGAGGGGTGGTTGTGTGTGCACGTGTCCTGTGTATGTGTGCACATGCACGTGTGTCATCTGTGTGCATGCATGTGTGTACATGTGCATATGTGTTGTGTCTGAATGTATGTCACATGTGCATGTGTGTTCACGCACATCATGTATGTGCATGCATGTGTGCAAGTTTATGCACATATTTCGTGTGTGCAGGTTGAGTGCATCGTGTTTGTTCATGCTTGTGCATCTGCATGCATGTGTGCATATGTGCATGTGTTGTGAACATGATGCATGCATGCAAGGGCATCATGCGTGCATGTATGTGTGCACCTGCGTGCACGTTGTGCATTGTGTATGCATGTGTCCATGTTTGCACACGGTGTATGCATTCATGTGTACATGTGTCTTGTGTGCACTGCTCATGGTTGTCTATGCTGTAGACATGCATATGCTTGTATGAATGTGTGTGTACATGTGTGTGTGTGTGACAGGACAGGATCAGGAAGGCGCCATTGAGCCCACGTCTGAGGCCCCTCAGAGGAAACCAGGTTTATCCTTGGTGTCTTGTTGCCTCTCCAGCTGTGCCATGGACTGTCACCGCAAACACCAGGCCCTGCCCTGCACCTCTGGTCTGTTGCAAATTGGGAGCTGATGTGTGAAGGCGGCCCCCGGGTGGGGGGGGCCGTGTCGGGGAGGGTGCTCCAGTGTGCGTGTGTGGGCAGCTCAGCAGGGCCCTCAGTTCCTGCAAGTCTGGCGGGGCCCACACTCCTGGGTCCCCTCCTGGCCAGACCCACCCATTTGCCTCTATCACTTCCATTCCCACAACCCCCCCCCCCCGCCAGGGGCCTGGGGTCTGAGCCCTGGGGGGCAGCAGGTCCTGGTACAGAGAGGTGCTCAGGGAAGCACGCTGGAAGGAGATCCACTGCAGGGGGTAGGAGCAGGTGCCGGGGCTGGGTGGGGGTGTTATTAGCAGGCGTGCTGGGGTCTAACTGGGAGTCCTGGCAGAGAGAGGGTGTAGCAGAGGGAGGGGGAGGAGGGCTGATTGCAGAGAAAGAGGGGTGCCGGGGTGATTAGTAGGGGTCCCAACACGGGAGCATGCTAGTGTCAGTCATCTGCCTGGTGCCCCCTCTGGTTTGAAGGGTCCCCCGGGGCAACACCTGGCCTTGAACCTGAATTTCCAGCTATCCTCAACTTCTGTGGGGACCCCAAGAAGAGTTGCCCCAGGTCTTCCTGCTGAGAGCACAGAGCCACGTGCCCCCACAGCCTGCCATAGTGTCCGCAACTACCCTGGTTGTGTGCCAGCGGGTCACCATCCCGGCTGTCCATATCGCCTTGGCCGGACACCATCTCAGCTGGACATCACCTCAGTTGGACACCACCTCAGCCGTTCACACCACTTTAGTCAGACATACCTCAGGCAGACACCACCTCAGCTGTCCCCACTACCTCAGCCGGACACCACCTCAATTCTCCACAGCACTTCAGTCGAATACCACCTCAGCTGTCCATACATCAGTGGTCTACCTCTGCCAGACACCACCACCTCAGTCATCTATACCACCTCAGCTGGACACCATGGCAGTCATTCACACCACCTGAGCATTCTATACCACTTCAGCCAGACAACTCAGTCATCCACACCGCCTGCAGCGCCTCTGAGTAGGGTGACATCTTCCACATGCCACTGCCCTGTCCAGTTTGTTAGTGGAGCCGGTGGGCTGCATGGGGCAGGGAGGCCCTGGGGGGCTGCGGGGGCTGGTGTCCCTGGCAGCAGGAACCCCTTTGGACCCGGAAGGCTGTGGTAGTTCCGGTGTGGCGCATTAGATAGCCTAATGGATTCTGGATTGATTTTTCATTAATTTGGTAAAAATCTTTTCCTTTCCCCCATGATTCTGTCTGAAAGCACGGCCCCGACATTCCAGTAAGTCACTCTTGCTTTCACGCATGTCTGGCTCGTGGTGGGCGCGGTGAGAGCCTGGGTGCCAGTCAGGCAGGTAGGAACTACATTACACAGGGGGAAACTGAGGCAGAAGGTGAGCCCCTCCCTCCCATGCGGAGGGCCCTCCTGGACCTGGTGCTCGCCTCCACCCTCAGACTTAAGTGCTGGCCTGGGGACCAGTTGCAGTCCTCGCCCTACCTCCTCTCTGCTACAGCCTGGGGGGCCCCTTTCCTCCCTCTGTGCCAGGGTCCAGGTGCTCCGAGATGTGAGGGATGAACCTGGGCCTCCTCCATGCAGGTACCTCTAGCCCTCGGTCCCCTGCTCCTTCCTCTCCTCTTTCCCCTCCCCCTCCCCCTCCCTCCATCCCCTGCCCCCTCTGCTCCTCCTTCCCCACCTAAGTCCAGGCTCAGGGGCTGCCCTAGTACATGCGTGTCCCGCTGCCCCTGGGCATGTGTCTAGTTTGCAGGCCTGCGCTGGGCTGTGGGGCTGCTTCCTGGGAAGGGCACTGCAGAGCCTCCGCAGGCCTGTCCAGTGGGGTGGCTGCAGCCTGTGCCCCTCGCCCACTGTCCCAGGTCAGCGGCCGTAAGTCTAGGCCCCGTGAATGTCCAACCCTCCTCGCGGGTGCTCCCTGCCTGGCCCCGACTCTCCTACAGTTAACCCTGGGGAGGCCCCGGGGCAGGACAGAGGCTCTTCCCGCATGGGTGGGGGAACAGAGAAGGGGGCTCTGCAGACGCAGCCTCCCCATCCCCTGGAACGGGACAACAGCAGGAGCCACACCCAGGACCCCCTTGTGGGAGACAGCATCTTTGCGGGCCTTGTGGGGGTCAGGGAGCAGTATCCTTCCAGGGCTGGCAGGGCGGTTCTCTGGGGCCTCTCCACCCCTGGGAGCCCCCCAGTGACCCTTCAGCAGGCTGCACTCCCCGTCTCTACGAGCAGGGGTGGGGGGGGAGTGTGAGGGGCCCGGGGGTCCCAGCAGCAGCTGTGGGTGCCCTGGGGTGTCTGTGTGGTGGTGGGGCGTCCAGACGGCTCACTGGGATGAGCCGGCTCCACGGCAGGCGTGGCAAGGCCTGGCAACGACAGAAGGCCCAGGCCTACCCACAGCATCCCAGCCCCCTCGGGTCCCCAGCGTTGCTCCCTGGATGGGCACACGGGAACCCACAAGAGTGGGAGGTCATGCTACAGCAATGCCAGTGCTGTGGATGTGCATGTCAGGGAACAAACACGTGTGCAGGCATGTGTCAGTGTGTGTAAGCGTATGTCAGGGCATGTCGGCGTGGGGTATGTTTGTGTGGGAGGGGGCTGTGTGTAGGGGCGTGAGCTTGTCTGCATGAGTGGAGTGTGTGCCAGAGTACATGTGTGTGCTTGGGGGGGTGTGTGTTTGTGTGCGTGTGTGTGAATGTGCATGTGCATGTGTGTCAGCGTCTGTGTGTGTGTTTGTATGAGGCATGTGGAGTGTCTGCGTGTCAGTGTGTGGGTGAGGACCAGCCGGCTCTTAGCTCACACGGTCTTTAATAACTGTTCCGCAGGGGCAACGAGCTGGCCTGAGGGACCCCTGGGCTGTAGGGCCGCTCCTTGCCCCCAGCCCCAGCGGCACAGGTGGGGTCCTGTCCCTCTGGACTCTGTGGCTCCAGTCGGCACGGTCCAGGGCTGGTGTCACAGGTGCCTGGCTCCTCAGCAGGTCCCCTGCAGGGGACAGTAGGCAGTGGTCACAGACCTGATGAAGGTGAGGGGGCCCACAGGTGCACCCTGCACCCGTGAGAGAGGGTGGCGCTGCCCAGAGTCTTCTTGGCGGGGATGGAGTCAGTCCCCACAGCTTACCATGGCAGGTGGCTCAGGGCTGGGTAGCGGGGTGGCCACCTGTAGGCTCACGCCCTCGGCGCCGACGCCCCTCAGCTGGGCCACCAGTTCTGCACGCGGCCACCACCGGCAGGGCTGCCCCCTCACAGACACGATGTAGTCGCCACCCTTCAGGCCGGCCGCCTGCAGGACAGCACAGTGCTCTGGGTGTGCAGCCCCCTGCCCTCCCGGGCTCCTAGCGCGCTGCCCCCCACCTTACCGCGGCCGGGCTCCCTGGAATGACGGCGGCTATGAGGACAGGCGCGTCCCCCCGCAGCGTGAAGCCGAAGCCACCCTCTCCTGGCGTCACATGCACGGGCCCCACCAGCCGCCACTGGTTCCTGGCTGAGAACACAGGCAGGGGCCCCTGGGGGGCACAGAGCTCAGGGGCCAGGCTGGGCCTCCCACTGTCCCCTGCACAGACAGCGGTGCAGGCCGAGACCCAGCTGATGCAGTGACTGTTGTCGGTGAGTGAGGAGCAGGGCTGACCACCCCTCTGCACTGCCCTCCCCATCCTGACCCCTCTGCTGATCCCTCTAGTTGACCCCCCTATGCTGACCCCCGCCCGTGCTGACGCCCCCTGCCCCTCCGGTGCGCCTCACCAGCCTGCGGAAGATGTCAGCCGCCTCTGGCCGGGAGAAGCTGGGGGTCGTGACCTCGAGCTGCTGCTGGGTCTTAGCTGAGGGCGGGGGTGGAGGGGGGCGCAGGGGGCAGAGCTCAGCGAGACTCCAAGGCCCAGAAGCCGCAGAGTGCAGGGGGTGGGGCAGGGCCCCGACACAGACCCCAGACCCTCTGGGACCAGCCACAGCAGTGGGGGGAAACCTCGGTGGGCATGACGTGGGCGTGGCCCCAGGGCGGAGCCAAGGGGCGGGCTGGAGCGTGTCCTCGATGGGGGAGTGGGCGTGACCCCGGGGTGGGGCTAGATGGGCGTGGCCTCAGGGTGGGCGTGGTCTCGACGGGCGGGGGGGGAGTGGGCGTGGTCCCAGAGCAGGACTTGGTGGGTGGGGCGGGGCCTAAGGACGGGCTGGGTCTCAGGATGGGGCGTGGCCGAGAAATGGCCTGGGGCGTGGCCTCAGGGTGGGGCGTAGCCTCGGGGCAGGGGCTGAGGCATGGCCTCGGTGGGCGGGATCTCAGGGTGGGTGTGGCCGAGGGGAGGGCTGGGGCGTGGCCGTTGGTGCTCGAGGGCGTGGCCTATCGGGCAAGGTCGAGGGCGTGGCCGGGACTGGGCATGGCATGGCGCGGGCAGGGGCTGCTCACGCCTGATGTCCGGGGCATCCGCAGCCTCGCCGAAGTCATCCTCGCGGTCCAGCTCCGAGTACTTGGCCAGCGTCCGCCGCAGCGCCTGGGTCAGCGCGGCCTGCAGCGGGTCCAGCGTGCGCAGCGCCCGGCCCCGCGCGTGCAGCCGCAGGGCGCGCTCGTGGCCCCGGAGGGCGCGCCTCAGGTGGGCCTGGCCTGCGGGACGGCGTCCATCACCCGTGGCCCGCGGGGCCCACGGAGGGACGCCCCCCGCCCCCTCGCTCACCCAGCCTCCTGCGCTCCTCGGGCTCCGGTGACGCCGCCGCAGGAGTTCCGGGGGCCGCGAAGACGCGCTCCAGGTCCGCGGGGGCCACTGTGGGAGAGGCTGGTGAGCCGCGGTCGCCCCTCACCCCGCGTCCGCCCGCCCCCCGCGGGGTCACTTACCAGGCCCCTCGCAGAGGCCCAGGGTGGCGTGGTAGTGGGCCAGAGCCTGGAAGTGCTCGGCCTTGACCAGCGCTAGGGCAGCCCAGGCCAGCGGCACGAGGTCCCGGAGGGCTGGCTGGGTCATGGCCCCATGCACCAGCCGGTACTCGGTGGCCACCTGCAGGGACAGGCAGGGGACGGGGTCAGCCCTGGCCTCACAAGGTCCTGCCCACCCCGCGGGGCGTCTCCCCTCGCACCTGGGCGGCCTCCTGGGCCAGGAGCAGCTGGGCAGGGCCACTGTGGGGGGCCTGCAGGGACAGCCCCTGGAAGATGCACTCCTGGGCCTGCGCTGTCATGAGCCGCTCCAGTGCCAGGAGCCAGGGCGGGCTCAGGTCCGGGCTGGGCGCGTGGGAGAAGCTCTCTCGCAGAAGGCGGAAGGCCCCTGCAGGGCAGCTCAGGCTGCACCGGGGCCCTTGGACCCCCCCCCCCCCCACCGCGGCCCGTGCCCCCGCAGGACCCGACAGTGGGGCTCACCTGCGGCCTTCTGGAAGGCGTCCACAGCCCGGCCCGTGCCGGCCAGGCAGGTGCGGTCCTGGCTCGCCCCGATCTGGGTGTGAAGGGCCCCGATGTTGAAGAGGACGCTGCCTTTCTCGAAGGCCAGGGCCCGCTGCTGGACTGGGACGCCCGTGATGCTGTCATACCTGCAAGGGGCCGCTGGGCAGAGTTCCAGAGGGAGGAGGGGGGCCCCGGCCAGCGTCCCCCCGCAGCCTTACCAGTGGAAGAGCAGCCGCAGGCCCCGGCCGGGGGCCGAGAAGCGCGCGTCCAGGAAGCCCAGCTGCGTGTAGTAGGCTGCGAGCACCTCCACGCTGGCTTCGCTCCAGCTTGGGGTCCGCGTGGCCTGTGGAGAGGGGCTGCTGAGGCAACGAGTGCCCCTGTTTCTGCCGGCACCTGGGACCCAGGAGGGCAGTGCCGGGGCGCATGTGCCCTTCTGCCCCTCACGTGAGTGCCCACCCACCACCCTGGGGCTCACCTGCCGCAGCTCGTCCAGCTCTTGGATCTCGGCCTCATAGCAGGCGCTGTCCTCCCCGAAGTGCCCCGAGATCAGCTCCTGGGGCGAGTAGGGATGGGGGGTGCCTGTGGTGAGGCGGGAGGGTCACCCGGACCCCCAGGGCTGCCCAGCCTGGACTGACATACCTTTAGGGCTGGGGCCCAGTCCAACCTCCGGGTCTCCTTCAGGCCCAGAGGGATGAGGGGGACGTCGGCGCTGGCGCTGGGGGACGCGGGAGGACTGAGTGACCGGCTGTCCCCAGGCCACCCAGGCGCCTCCCAGCCCCGCGTGCGTGCATACACACCTGGCGGGCGGGTTTCCGTCCACGCTGCCCCCGCCAAGCCCTTGCAGCTCCTCCCTGAGCAGCTGCAGGCCGCTGTTGATGCGACAGAGCTCCAGGGCCACCATCTCCCTCACCCGGGCGCTGCGGGTGGCTCTGAGAGGAGGGAGGGAAGCCTGGTGGGCAGCGCTGAAGTGAAGGCAGCCACCCCAGCCCCTGTGGTCACGCCCGCTCGTGACCGCGTCTGGGACCTGGACACACCTCTCTAACTGACCCCAACATTCCACTTGGGCCCCGTCAGGGGTCATAGGTCAGGCCCCTCCGTGCGCCCGTCATTGGCCTTCAGGAAGGTCGAACTGTGGGCAGGGACTGCTGGCAGAAGGTTAGACCCTGGTGTTGGCTGCCTGTGGGGTCGGCATGGGCCGGGCCAGGGGGCTGCGCGGTCCCACAACCCACCCACACAGGCGCCCGCCTGCACTCACCTGTACAGGTTCTCAGCACCCGCCCGGATGCGCACCTCCTTGGCGATCAGCTGGTGGAGGCGGGCCCTGCAGCTCTTTGGGGACACAATTGCTGGTCTGTCCTGTGTGCCAACCCTGTGAAGAGGCTGGGGGCCGGGGGTCCCAGCAGCACGGTGTCTGGGTCTCACCAGCTCTGCTGGACGCACAGTGGCCCCGGAACAGAGGGGCCAGTGCCCACAGCCTCCCTGCAAAGCCGCTGTACTCAAGTTTCCACCAATCTAAGGTCCGGGGGCTGGGGGGGGAGGGGCCGGCCCAGTGCAGGGTCCTGGAGGTCACTCCTGAGCCCAGCCTGACTCCAGAGGGCTGCGCTCAGAGCAGAAGGCAGGCAGGGGTGTGGCAGGGGTCGTGTCTAGGCCTGGAGCTGCTGGGGGAGCTGGATTTGAGGGACTCCCTCCAAGGAGTCAGGGAAGATCTGCAGGGTACACCTCCCTCGGGGGACATCCCTGTGGGTCCTGCGGCCAGAGGGGCTGGCTGGGGCACAGGACAGGAAGAAGCACACAGCCTTTCCCGGCCTGGAGCCCAGCATTCCCAGCAGGGTGGACTGCCTGGAGAGCGGCAGTTCCCAAGACGGAAGGTATGGGGACAGCGCACGTGTTCTGGAGGCAGCCAGGCACCTCCTGTGACTCTGTCCCTGACAGCTGGGTGGCCTCAGGGACACCTTGGAGCAAGCGAGCAGCAGGAACGCATCTTCCGTCTTGTGGGGCTGACGGAAGTCTGTGGTACAGTGGTCCCGGGCCTCAGGATGAGGTGTGAGGGGCCACAGCGGGACACGGTGAGCACAGGGCCACCAGCTCCCTTTTTTGTGCGCACGGCCTCCCCCATGCTCAGGGAGTGGACAGCAGGACGCAGGCAGAGAAACCCTCCCGCGCTCCACAGCCGCCCTGCCGACCCACAGCCGCTGCCCAGGGTTCTCTGATGTTTCCGGGGCTGAGACTCGGTCCAGAGCCAGCACAGTGCTCACGAGAATGGCAGAGGCACCTTGGAGGGGGTTGGGGGCAGCCCCCAGCCACTGCTCCCAGTCTGGCTCTCCCTGTGAGGGGGGTCAGGACCCCAGACAGGGCACATGACTGGGGGCACGGACAGAGCACAGCTTGGCCACAGCCGGAACTGCTGCCCACCAAGTTCTCTGGGTAGGAACCCAGTGCCAGAGACGCCCTGCGGAGCCCCTGCCGGGGGCCAGTGCAGGGACAGAAGCGGGCGTCCTGCTGTCCACAGCTTCACCCCCTAGGGCCCTGGCAGCACTGGCCGATGAGGGCACGGTTGCCTGCTGCCTCATGGGACCCCTGGGACTCTTCCTTCCCATGCCCGGGGAGCCTGGGTACTCATGGGCAGGGTCACAGTCCACCGGAACCCTAGGTCCTGGCCCGGCAGAATCTGGAGGGTGGGCCTGAGAGTGGGGCCAGGGAAGCTCTGCAGTGTCCAGCCCCCGCCAGGAAAGTTTCACAGCCCAGGGCTGGCGGGTGACCCCAGGGCCGCAAAGAGCCAGGTGCTGGCCTTGCATAAGGCTACCCGGTTCCTGAGCCCGGCAAGGAGTGACCCTCCGGGACAAAGCCAGGCCAGGCCCAGGGGCGAAAGAGACAGCATCGCTGGGGGCTCCGGACCCCACCCACAGTCGCTGCCTCAGTTTCCCACGCCTGAGCGTGAAAAGTGGCCACAGTGCGGAGGGAGTCGGGCACGCGCGTGCCGGTATCCGCTGTCCGGCGCTGTCCCCGCTGCCCCCGTGCCCGCGCTGCACACACCGTCCCCTCCACTGCCCGCGCTGTGCCCTCTGCTGCCTCCCCCGCTGCCCGCTGCCCCCACTGTCCCCACCGCCCCCTGCCCGCGCGGACGCGCCCACCTCGCTGTCTCCGCCGGCCACTTGCGGGGCGGCGCGGTCCTCGCGGGCGCGGGGGCACTCGGGGCTGTCGCCCGGGACCATGGTCGCCCGCGTCCGACAGTGCTGGCTGCAGGTCCCTCGGGCCGGCCGCGGGACGGGCCACTCGAGGCGGGCGCGCGGATCCCGCTCCCGAGGGTTCCCGGGGTGGCGGCGCGCGCCGGCGGGGGGCGTAGCACAGAGCGTGCGAAACTTGCGTCTGTCCAATGGACAGCGGCGGCGGCCTCGACGGAAAGGGGTCGCAGCCAATCAGGGCTCGAGGGAGGTGGGCCCGTCCCTCCCGCCCCGGGTCCCGTCGCTCCTAGCAACCGCCAGGGCTGATGCCGGCGGCGGGCGCGGGGCGCGCAGTGCGCATGCTTAGGGCAGCCGCGGGGGCCAGCGGGGTTAGGGAGGAGGGAGAATTCCATGCTGGATAGACTCTACCCTCCGCCCGCCGGGACCGGACCCCCTGCTGTCCCCGACGCCGGCGCTCCAGGCTCCCTCGATGCCCGCCTGACTGCAGCCGGCCCCGCCAGCCCCTGCTGAGCTGCCTGAGGCCACCCGACCCGCTGGCCCTGTACCCTGCAGGCCCTTTTGGCCTGCCCTGGCCACAAGGAGACAGACAACAAGAGGGTCCAGACCCTAGTACAGCGGGGAGCGCGCTTGCCTGGCACGCGGCTGGGCAGCTGGACCCTGGTACCCCAGATTGTGAGCGCCACCAGGGATGATACCTAAGCGCAGGGCCAGGAACCAAAACAAAACCCAAGACCTTTAACTTCTCAGGAAAGAAATAGCTGTGCAGGAAACAAAAGTGATCTTAGAATATCACCTGGATGGACCAAGTGTGTTGTGTGCACGTGTGTATTGTGTATGTGTGCATGCATGCAGTGTATGGTATACACAAGCACATGACTGTGTGCACATGTGTATATATGCATGTGCACATATGCATGAGTGCATGTGTGCACACATGTGTGTGTACACGTGTGTGTGTCATGCATGCACGTGTGCATGTGTGTGTGCACGTGTGTATGTGGGCATTGCAGATGTGCCTGGGGCCGCATCTCTGTGTGTGCCCGCCTGGGCTCTCTGAGCCCCTCCCTGCCCCGCACTGATTCCTTGCATAGGTCCTAACAGTTTGGTCAGTGTCTTCTGTGACCTGTTGGGCTGGGGGAAGGGGAGAGTGGACTGAGGCCCTGTGTGTCCAGCTGTAGATCTCACAGAGTGTGGAATCCAGTCAGGTTGGAGCTGGGGGAGGCTGCCATGGGGGCCCCCAGGTGGCTTTTCACAGCAGGGAGTGTTAAGCAAACCTCCCAGTGCCTGCTGCCCTTTGGCAGGGAAGCGATTGCTAAAGCAAGTCAGGGCTGGGCCTGAGGCTCAGCGGAGAGTGCCCATCTGGCAGGCACGCAGAAAATGAAACAGTCAGCAAGGCCCAGGGAAAGGGGGGTAGGCGTGCCTGGGATGCACAGCCCACATGGACTCCAAGCCCTTCAGGACACGCCAAGGACTGATGGGTGAGTCCTGTGCCGCCGAGCACTGCCTGGGAGCTCCGAAGGGACACCCTTCTCCCTCCTCCGACTCACCCCCTAGAGAAGTTTGAAGGGAGACAGGGCCGAGGACCGTGTCCTCTGCCAGGCGCTGCAGCGAGAGAACAAGCTGCCTGTGTATGGAAGGGGAACAGGGCTGGGGACCAGGAGGGACAGGATGCTCAGAACCAACATGTTTGGAAAGAGGAAGCAGCTAGCTCCCAGGTAGGAGAGCGTCACAGCAGGGGCCAACCGGGAGAGTCCTGGACACAGGGGAGGACCCAGCTGGGCCCACAGTGCGGCTCCCAGAAAGGTCAGCAGGAAGGTTGGAGCGTCAGAGCGGCCAGTGCGCTTGTCCTGCGTGTGGCCACAAAGCTTCGATCCTCAGCACCCGATAACGGTCCCCAGGCTGACCCCTGAGCACAGAGTCCAGGAGCCCTGGGCAGCGCCGAGTGGGGCCCAGACAGCAAATCAGCCAGCAGAGGTGGAAGCTCCCGTCCACCCTCAGGTGTGTGACTGCTTCCGACAGCCCTATCCACCTTCATGGCCCCCAGGATCCCCTGACATCCTAGCAAAGTCCAGGAGCACCCCCTGGGAGACACCAGCCAGGGTGACCCCCTGTGTGCCAAGTGCGAAGTGGGCAGGGCTCTGAGGAGATGGAAATGTTGGTCAGTCACTGGGCTGTCAGCCTGTCCCAGGCCCTTGAAGAACTGGGATTTGGGGCCTGTGGTTTCTGCCCTCGTGTCCGTGAGGCACGGTGAGCGCCAGGAGAGTCTGCACCGGGCCAAAGCTACACCCCCCACTCCCAGGGGAGCGGCTGGCTGGAATTTAATTAGCTCCTGTTTGCTCAGTGCCCAGGGCGGGCCCTCCCACAGCTCTGACCAGGAGGCATGGGCCGGGGGCAGGGCCAGTGAGGTCCTCGGGAGTCACACGTCCAGGCTCCACTGCAGAGAACAGGGGCTGGTGGACACAATCCCCGCATTAGCCAGTGTGCTGGGTGTCACCGTGTCGGGTGTCACTGGGTGTCAGGTGTCCCTGGGTGTCAGGAAGAACCATTGGTGAGGGGGGTGACTTTCTGTGCAGTGACCCTGACGGGGAACTGAGATGTGACAGGCTGGGTGGTGCTGGGGAGCCCCAGGGTCCAGGGGGCAACAGGACAAGCCCTGGGGGAGGAAGGAGTGACTCTGAGTGTGGCTTTGGGAGGCGGTGAGCGGGACTGAGGCCAGAGAGGCCCTGAGACCTGCTCCTGGCTGGCCCCCCAGGTCTCCCAACCACTCTGGCCCTTGCCCTGCTGGGCACTGCCTGGGGAGTGGCTGGCACTGAAGGGGCCATGGCCAGAGCTTCTCATGTGTCCGGGCCGGGGGCGCGTCCCCCATGGCCAAGACGGCCAGGGAGGGTCAGGCAGCAACTGAACGGGGCAGACCCTGGTCTCTGAGGTCTGAGGTCCGCAGCCTTCACCAGGGGTGGGGAGCAGGGGGCAGAGCCCTGGAGGCCTGGCTGCCGCTTGGAGGGTGACCTGGATTCAGGGCCTGCCATGGGCGCTGGGCTGCGGGCGCAGACGGGGGAATATTCATCACCAGAAAACCTGCCTCGTTTTTCTCCCACGCCAGCAGGGGCATCCGTCAACGGCCCCACGGCCTCCCGGAGCCGCTTCTATTTTCCACGTCTGACTAATTTTTAATCTCAGGACAGAGCGTGCGCCGCTGACGCCGGCGTTTTTAGGGGCGATGATGGATGCCGCCGTCACAGGGCCCTCGCCAGCGACCCTTCCCGTGGCTGCGTGGATGAGACGGCCCCTCCCTGCCCGGGTCCCCGTGCACACCTGGCACACAGCCCACCCACCCAGGACCTGTGATCCTGGGGCCAGACACGGGGGCTGGATCGCTGCTCCATCCTGGGAAAGCCAGACCCCACCCAAGCCCCCACTGTGCACCAGACCCCACCCACGCCGGCTGCCACCTGTGGACACTCCGGGGCAGCCTCTGCCCATCATCCTGACCAGAGGCTTTGGCCTCCCCCATGGACTGATGTGTGTGTGGGGGGCGGGACTGCCTGTGCCCCAGGATCCTCAGCCTAGAGGGGCCCCAGGGAGGAGGCTGGACACTCCAGCGATCTATTACAGAGGAGGGGAAGAGAGTAGGAGAGGGGGAGAGAGGAAGAGAGGGAGGGAGAGAGGGAGGGAGGAAGGGAATGGAGGAGGGAGGGAGAGAAGTAGGGAATGAGGGAGGGAGAGAGGGAGAGAGAAGTAGGGAATGAGGGAGGGAGAGAGGGAGAGAGAAAGGGAGGGAGGAGGAGAGGGAGGGAGGGAGGGAGGGAGGAAGAGAGAGAGGAGGGGAGGGAGAGAGAGGAGGGGAGGGAGGGAGAGAATGGAGGAGGGAGGCAGGGAGGGAGGAAGAGAATGAGGGATGGAGGAAGTGAATGAAGGAGGGAGGGAGAGGGAGGGAGAGAAGGAGGGAATGAGGGAGGGAGGGAGCAGAGGGGGAGTCTGGAGACACCCAGGCTGCGTAGGCAGAGCTGCCTGTCTGCCCATGCCAATGGGGTCGGGGCCTGCTGGACTCCTGGTGCAGTGCCCGTCTGCCTGTGCCCAGTGGCCGAGAGGCTGCACCCCCAGGCAGGGCTGAGGAATCCCTGGTAAATGTGGGCTCGGGAAATGGTGGCTCAGTGGGGGGCCCTTGGGGTCCCCCACCAGGTGGGGGTGGCTTGTGCCCACCCAGGTCCAGGCCCAGCCTGTGTTCCAAGGAGACAGGTGCCCAGCGGCACCTCGCTGGGGAGTGACTGGGGTGACAGATGAGCTGAGGGCTCCTTGGCCGCCCCTGCAGGGCAGCCTGCATATATGCACAGAGGGCAGCTGGAGGCCTGGGGTGATGTGCTCTGCATGCTCACATGCTGGGCTTCTGGTGCTGCCCCACCCCGGCCTCTGTCTGGGCAGTGCAGGCCGTGATGGAGGCACCCTCACCCCCCCACCCCCAGGTGCAGCAGGGGACCTGGGCCTGTGTGGGCGTGAGGCCCAGGCCTGCCCTGTTGAGGCAGCGGGTGGGCATGGGCAGGCTCCCCAGAGATGCCTCCTCCTCTCCATCAGTGGGCACCGCGCCAGGACTCCAGCCAGCCCTGACCCCACAGGCGTGGCCACATGTGCTGAGGGGCCCAGCATGCACCCCGTTGCCCCATCTTCCTGCAGGACAGAGGAAACGCCTGACCCAGAAACCCAAATGGTTGCTCTGGAGCGCTGCTGGCCAGGGGCCCTCAGGACGGGACGGACTGGCATCTTGGGCAGCAGCGGGAAGCGCGGACAGTGCCCCGGCCATTCCTGGCTGTCCCCAAGCTGCCCCCGCTGTGGCCTCGTGGCCCCTGTGTGAGGGACAAGGCTGTCTGCCCATCCGCACTGCAAGGCGTCCCTGGCCAGGCCAAGCTAACTCCAGGGAGACCTCCGGAGGGCCCGTGTCAGGCGCCCCCTCAACACGCTCAGGGGCCCTCGAGCTCCGCCTCAGCAGCTTGTCTTGGCTTCTCCGCTTGCGGCTTTTCCACTCCGGAGAAGCCTCTCTTGAAAACCTATTTTCTCTTTCTGTCCTCACGTCTTTATACATGTTTCATTGGATTAAAAACCATCTTGCAGGGCTGGGGTGATAGCATAGTGGGGAGGGCGTCTG